GCGAGCCACCTGGGTACTCTCCTCACCTTCTGCCCTTGGGTGCTCTAGCCATGGGCTTAGAGCGGGTTCCGTTGAGCCACACCAGGTATCCAAGTAGGTAGTGCCACCCACACTTGGACTGGGAGCATCGGCCAGTCGATCTCCCGGGGGAACTAGAGCCGGCTCTTGAACACTTCACCAAGCTACCCCGCTTGTCTGTCTGTGTTCACTCTAGTCTTGGACTTCCCAGTGGGCAGCTCATCACCCAACACTGGGTCCGGCCTTCCTGGGCCAAACTGGCCTTTCCTGGCCAAACTGGCCTTTCCTGGCCAAACTGGCTCCACTGCAGTCCTCCCCCTTACTATACTTTTGGAGCTCACCAAACCCCCCAGGGTCTGGGAGACGAACGCTTTGGGCTTTCACCCTCTCAGGCTTCGGACTCGGACTCGGACTCGGACTCGGACTCGGACTCGGATTCGGACTCGGACTCGGGCTCGGGCTCGGTCTCGGCCTCGGCCTTGGTCTCGGTCTCGGTCTCGGTCCCGATCTCGGTCTCGGTCTCGGTCGCGGTCTCGGTCCCGGTCTCGGTCTCGACTTCGGACTCCATCTCGGACTCCATCTCGGACTCCATCTCGGACTCCATCTCGGGTCCATCTTGGGTCCATCTCGGACTCCATCTCGGACTCCATCTCGGGTCCATCTCGGACTCCATCTCGGACTCCATTTCGGGTCCATCTCGGGTCCACCTCGGACTCCATCTCGGACTCCATCTCGGTTCCATCTCGGACTCCACTTCGGACTCCAACTCGGGTCCATCTCGGGTCCACCTCGGACTCCACTTCGGACTCCAACTCGGGTCCATCTCGGACTCCACTTCGGACTCCAACTCGGGTCCATCTCGGACTCCACTTCGGACTCCAACTCGGGTCCATCTCGGACTCCACTTCGGACTCCAACTTGAGTCCATCTCGGACACTCCCACGTGTCATTTGTTGGTCCTTTTGGGTCCCTTTTTGGAGCCTCGCCTTTTGCTCGCTTCGTGCTCGTTCCTCGAGCACTTCGTTGGGAGTTCCACTCCCGCTCTTGACTTTTCAAGTCGGAGCTTTTGGTCCAAACGTGTTACGCTCGTTTGGCTCTCGCTTCGGCCACTACCATGTGGCGCCCTTCCGGCTCCACTTTGGGGCCTAGGGATTTTGTGTCTCACACCCATCTCCATCCATATCCATTTGCTATACAAAGTCTACACTAGAAGCAATTTACAATGGTGAGTAGGGGAATGGTTTACCTTTAACTCTTTTGAAGGTTGGTATAGGAAGGGCCTTCGGGAAGAAAATTGTGATTGACGAGCCTTTTATATTTGTGGGGATACATAATTACTTTTTGGACAAAATAAAGATCACCTGAAGTATTGTTAGGTGTCAGTTTTGACCATATGGTCAACGTTGGTCAAAGGGAGGCTCAAGGGTATAAGGGACTTAACCTACCCTAGGGCTCATACTATAGCAACAGCACAATGGAGCTTTTGAGGTAGCTCAGGGGTGGTTGGGTGGTGAGGAACCTCAAGAGGTGGCGTAACATAGTCTAGGGAGATTAGATCTTTATCTTTTTGTGCCGGATCATAACATTCCTCTGATACCAATGTTATGATCCGGCATAAAAAGACAGAGATATAATCGCCCTAGACTATGCTATGCCACCTTTTGAGGTTTCACCAAGATTGATTTGAGGAGTGGATATTATCAGATTGCAATGGATGATGTATCTATTTCCAAGATAGCATTTTGTAAGCGACTAATTTTTCTATTCTACTTTAGTCACTTAACCACACCTCTGACCACTTGGAGGAGTCTCACTAACAACCTCCATAAGTCCTATTCCGGACTTGGGGCTTGTTATCCTCAAAAATAGCATCCATGCCACTTAACCTTTGCGCTTGGTCCAAGTGCTCCACATGTCCGATCCCATGACCGACACTCGACATATTAGCCCATTACCACCGACATATTAGCCCATTACACTAGGCCATGCTCAATCACCTTGGTCACATCAGTGGTCCAACACCACTTGTATTGCGATCTCATTTCTCAAAGATTGGGCCATCCGTCCATGAGTGGTCATCCTAGATTCACTCCTTAACACTCTTTACTCTCCCCGCCTTCTGCCTTTGGGTGCTCTAACCATGGGCTTAGAGTGAGGTTCCATTGAGCCACGCCAGGTATCCAAGTAGGTAGTGCCACCCATACTTGGACTAGGAGCATCGATTATTCGATCTCCCGAGGGAACTATAGCTAGCCCTTGAACATTTCACCAAGCTAACCCACTTGTTGGTCTGTATTCACTCTAGTCTTGGACTTTCGAATGGTTAACCCATCACACAACACCTGGGCATAGCCTTCCTGGGCCAAACTAGCCTTTTCTAGCCAAATTGGCTCCACTGGTATCCAACCCCCACACTCTCCCTACTATACTTTTGGAACCCCTTGCAGCTCCCCCCCCCCGGGGGATGATCGCTTTGGGCTTTCACCCAACTGCCTATATTAGTATTCGGACTCGGACTTGGACTTAGTCTCGGTCTCAACCTTGGTCTCGGACTCGATCTCAGTCTCGGTCTCAGTCTCAGTCCCGATTCCATCTCGGACTCCATCTCGGGTTCATCTCAAACTCCATCTCAGACTCCATCTCAGGTCCATCTTGGGTCCATCTCGGACTCCATCTTGGGTCCACCTCAGGTCCACCTCCGGTCCATCTCGGACTCCATCTTGGGTCCACCTCGGGTCCATCTCAGACTCCATCTTGAACTCCATCTCGGGTCCATTTCGGGTCCATCTCGGACTCCATCTCAGACTCCATCTCGGGTCCATCTTAGGCTCCATCTCAAACTCTTCCATGTGTCATGTGTTGGTCCTCTTGTGTCCTTTTTCTAGAGACTCACTTATCACTCACTTCGTGCTTGTTCCTCGAGCACTTCGTTGGGAGTTCCACTCCCGCTCTCAACCTTTCAAGTCGGAGCTTTCAATCTAAATGTGTTACGCTCGTTTGGCTTTTGCTTTAGCCACCACCACGTGGCACCCTTCTGGCTCCACTTTGGGGCATAGGGATTTGGTGTTTCACACATTTAACACAAGCTTCAGGCATTTTGAGTTTACAGTTATGCCGTTTGGTTTGACGAATGCACCAGCCATATTTACTCGGTTGATGATGGAGGTATTTGGGCATTATCTTCATGAGTTTGTGAAGATTTTCTTAGACGATATTTTTGTTTTCAACAAGAATATGGAGGAGCATAAGGTGCATTTATGCAAGGTTCTTTTGTTACTCCATAACAACAAACTTTATGTGAAGAAGAGAAAATGCAAGTTTGCAAAGTTAGAGGTGAAATATCTAGGCCATATTGGTGTCAAGACGGATCTAAGGAAGGTAGCTATGGTGGAGAACTAACCTACACCAACTTTAGTGGCCGAGTTACACATTTTTCTTGGTATAACTAGTTACTACCAATGTTTCCAGCATAAATTTGTAGAGGTGGCTATTCCTTTGACACGGTTGTTACGCAAAAATGTGCCATTCGAGTGGAAGAAGCCACAAGAGGAGAGTTTTGTGGTGTTGAAACAATTGTTGAGCGAGGCTCAAATTCTGTGCAATGTTGATCCATCAAAACTTTACGAGGTGACATATGATGGCAAGTGGTTATGCACTAGGAGGAGTTCTTATACAAGAGGGACAACCTATTGCATATGAGAGTCAAATTTTGAATCCTGCACAACAACATTATTCCACATATGAGCAAGAGTTACTCTCTATTGTTCATGCTTACAGACATGGCAACACTACTTTTATGGTGTGGTGTCAAACATGGCATGGTTGCTAGTCAGCACAGCAGCATAGTCAGCACAGCATGCTTGCCAATCAAGATTAAAACTTGTAGTTGCATGACTTTGACCACAGACCATGACTCTGGGGCATCGTACTTCTCTTCGCACTTGGCATGAATCTGTCGTCTGATGTATGATCACATGATTCTGAAATGAAACTCTTAAGGTTTTCTTTCTTTTGTATAAGATCATGGACATGGAAATTCTACTGGAGTTCAAGCAAGGCATGTTCCAAAGCAATTCTACCTTTTCTAACTGGCATGAAGGAAGCAAGGATGGGATTTGCAGCTGGAGAGGCATTAGTTGCAATTCTAAACGCCAAGTAGTGTCCATACATCTATCCTCTGTGGATCTTGATGAAGCCTTGGTGGGAACTCTCACGCCAAGGCTTGGGCAGCTTTCATATCTTTCAGAGCTCGATCTAAAATAACGGGGCAAATTCCTACCACCCTCGGAAATTGCTCCTCACTCACAGAGCTCAACTTGAGAGGGAACCAATTGACTGGCCATATTCCAGCAACATTAGGGCAGCTCCAGAATCTCACTGAGCTCTGGCTATCTGATAATTTCTTGAGCGGGTCTATTCCATCGAGTGTTGGGAACTGCTCCAAGCTGCGGTTCCTCAGTCTGGAAAACAACACCTTAACGGGCTCTATATCTCCATCGCTGGGTAAGCTCAAGAAATTGGAAAGTTTATCACTTTTTACAAACAATTTGGAGGGGCTTATACCAATCACTCTTGGAAACCTTTCGCACCTCACATTTCTAGACATGTCTGACAACCTTCTATATGGCCCATTACCTGGCTCTTTTGCTGGTCTTCGTAGGCTAAAGTGGTTGGGACTATCGCAAAACTATTTTCTCAACGGATCGATTCCTTCGGATGTTATGGTGGGCATGCCATCTCTAACGCACCTAGAGCTCCATTACAACAACTTTACAGGAAACATTCCCATGTTTAATGCGTCTTCTCCTGTTGTACTACTTCGCTTGGACGTTAACAGCCTGACAGGAATCATTCCGCATTTGATCACAGAGATCAAGGCTCTCCAGCAATTGCACCTCAACAAAAACTATCTAGATGGAAGCATTCCAAAAGGCATTAGCCAGCTGGATCGTCTTGAGATACTTGACTTGAGTGACAACTATCTCAGAAATGAAGTTCCTCCACTCGACAAATGCACCAATCTTGGCTATCTCGACCTCCACGGAAACTTGATACGGAGCAAAATGCCAACGTTTGGTGCATGCACTAACCTGGTTTACTTGGATCTCTCAACGAACGAGTTCCAGGGAGAGATTAGCTCAAGGCTAGGGAATTGCTCCCAGCTCAAGGTTGTCAACTTTGCGCAGAACAATTTCACGGGTGAGGTGCTGCTTGACTTGAGTAACTTGACAAGCTTGGTCTTCTTTGTCATTTCCAACAACACGTTGAGCGGCACAATTCCAGCAAAAAGCTTGAATTCCACTTATCTCAGAGTCATGGACTATAGTAGGAACCATTTCACAGTCAAGAAACTTGCAGCTGGTCAGGAATTATGATATTGTCTTTTGCATACAACAAGCTGTTTGGGCAGATTCCAGATTGCACCACCAATCTCATTTGGCTCCAAATTCTAGATCTGTCAAACAATAAGCTCACAGGGCAGGTGCCACGCGCGCTTTGGAAGTTTCAAGGTTTCAAGGGCAACACGAGTGGGGATTTGAATCTTGGCATTTACACAGGGGTAGAGTTGAGCCTGGTCATCATAGTCAACGACGCAAGGATACAGTTTGATCGGACAACGATCGTTGTTGCAAACAACATGACTTCATTGGACATCTCAAGCAACTCTCTCGAGGGTGTCATCCCAGAAGAAATTGGGCAACTGGTTGGACTAATGCATCTTAACCTCTCGCACAACCAGTTCACCGGTGCCATACCTCTCAACCTTTCCAGCTTGAAAAAGCTTCAGTCGCTTGACTTATCCTGGAACATGCTCCAAGGCAGGATCCCAAACGAGTTTGGGGAATTGCCTTTGTCAGCCTTTAATGTTTCATTCAACAACTTAAGCGGATTGGTCCCAACGGCATACAATTTAAACACTCGGTTTCCACTTGCATTCCAAGGCAATAAGAACCTTTGTGGGTTTCCATTGTCTCCTTGTGGCTATGCAACAAAGGATCAAGAGCACCCTGCAAGTCACAAAAGTTGGGAGGACTTCCTCTTCCGTGAGGCTTCAGTGTGGGCATTTGGCTGCGGTGTGTTTATTGGCTTTTGGGTCACATTTTTAGGCATCACGTTCTGGGACAGCCTTCAAAGTTGGAGGTATAAGCTTCGGGCAAAGGAACATGAGGACGCATCTATTGGCCTCAGCATACCTTCATTTCTTCCTCGTCTTGGCAGTTCTTAAGAAATGCTAACTTGTTAATCCAGAACTCAAATGAAAAAGCTGATGAGCAATTGACCTCCATGAGTCTAGGTCGTGGTGGATTCAGATGCTTTACTCTGATCAAAGTTTAGGCAATGGAAGAACATGACAATACAATAGCAAACCCAGAAATAGGCAAATGAACAGTGGATACAGAACTTTCCATACTTTAATTTGAAAAGTCTAGGCTCTTCGGATCAAACCAACCAATGACCGACTACATGAGTGTCAGAATACCGTCCTTGACCCGGTCATACATCACTTTAAATTTCAAGCACATGTGACACAATGGCAAACAGATTTCTAGTGTTCCTTGGTCATGGTATTCCAGCATATAGTGGTGGTCAATGGAAGAATACATGACAAATAAAGATGACAGAAGTTAGTCACTCAGAAATGTTGGTCAAGGTGGATACAGAACTTTCGATATTTTACTTTGATCAAAGTCTAAGCTCTTCAATACTGGTCAATCAATGAATAGCCAACCAACCAATGACCGGCTTTAACATGAGTATAAGAATACCGTCCTTGACCCGGTGATACATCACCTTAAATTTCAAGCTTGTCAAGGAAACATGTGATACAATGGCAAACAGATTTCTTGTGTTCCTTGGTCATGGTATTCCAGCAATTGCGTTCATCTTTTGGGGACTCTTGCTTCTTCTCACGAATGCAGCATCTCGTTTTCGAGGCCATGAAAAACCTGGGCGACTCTCCCTCATTACAAAGCCAGCTGAGTTTTACATTCTCTTCCTTGGGAGTGCAGGAGTCATCACTTTCCACTGCATTCTTCAGCCAACACGAAGCTATCCTGACCTGGAGCACATCTCCATGGCTATTCCGTTCATGATCTATGCACTCTGTTTACGTTCCAAGCTACACTTGCCAAGTGCTTTTGTAAGTCTCATGGAAGCAGCAGCGTTCGCCCAAGAACTCTTCCTCTTTCATTGGCATTCCACGGATCATGTCGGCGTGGAAGGACATTATCATATGCTTCTACAGCTCATTGTGACTGCCTGTATGTTCTCAAGCCTCGTGGAAGTGTTTGTGCCACAGAATCACAATGCCATGATGATCAAGTTTTGGAAGTCAATTTGTATCATCTTCCATGGCATTTGGCTGCTTCAGCTCTCATTACTTCTTGTGTTCCCAGCAACGTTCCTGCCTCTGGGTTGCCAAGTGTTTGTTCGTCACCACCAAAAGATCGAGTGTGGCAGTGAAAACCTTGTCAACCAGTCCAAAGCTATGGGAACATTGCTTTTCAGTTGGTACCTCTCTTTGTTGATGGTAGGAAGTGCAATATCCTATGCTGTTATTGAGAGAAAAACTCTATACAATATTAGTATATGGAATGAACAGGATGAAGAGCTACCATAACTTCCCTATAGTGAATAATTATAAAATGGAATTTAACCCTTGAACAAGGGCACCAGAACAGAATCTAAGTTTTAGAGCTAACAGTGAACAAAAGGATGAAGTTAAACTCTTAAGCATATAACAAAAAAATGAAGGAACATGAACATGGAGCAATATCATAATAGTTTTAGAGCATTTAGAATTCCAACTCTAAAATCAACATGCAAAACAAAGCTAGATGATTTTAGCATATTTATAGCAAAATACACCAACTAACATGGTAGAGTTTAGGCTTAGATATAAGCAAGATTCAAAACAAAAGATAGCACACCTAATGGGGAGATAAATAATATCTCAAGTAGTTCATACCTCAACCTACCCATTATCCCCATTATATTTGGAATTGCCCATATCCCCTACCCCATTATAAATGAATTAGAGAAAAGTTTATTAAAATTGAGGATTATTATAGAATATATATGGGTATCATAGATATATTCCCATTTTCCTTAAAGTGAAAAATAATTAACGTCATTCTTTTAATTTAAAACATTTTTCTAAATTTAAAATGTATGATCAAGATGACATCTTTGAAAGCTAGCATTTTATATTTAATTTTATATAGCTTGCTGTAGTTATAAACTTCTAAAGTAAAGAAGTTCCTTATTGAACAATTTCTGAAAAATATTTATTGTGCATATTGAACTTTTTCATGTATAATAATATTTATTTAGTTTTATATTATTAATTAATATAAATATTCTATAAAATATAAGTAAAATAATTTTTTTGATAATGCCATATATTAATATTAACATAGTGGAATTTTGATAGCCATAAAATTGATTTCAATTTGAACCACTTGCTCCTGTATATAAGCTAGGGTTTTGAGATTACACATTTTTGTATTCCATTTCCATATTTAATGCACTCATATTAGTGGAAGTGAAGGGTAATTCTAATTGTCTTTAAGGAGTGTTTGGTTTAGATTTAGCTTTTGCATTATCTAGATCTCTCTTATTTATGTAGCTTTTCAATTTCTTTTTTTCTTTTTATTTTTTTTGCTTTTTTCCATTCATCTTTATGGCAAAATAGTAACTTCCTCCTTCTTTGACTCTAGAGTAAAAGTTGGTGCAATTTCTCAATGCTATGTAATTGCAATTGAACAATCAGACTCAATTGATAGTGGCATTCATGGCATGTGGTGTATCTCTTACTATTGTTGCCCATCATTGAGTTCAGTTGGAGTTCTTTTGTGGGAATTTTGGGGATGATGTATATCATTAGTTTGATCACTTTATAGTGATTACCACTTATCATTTTTGGGATGATATTTAGTGTCTATATAATTTCCCCACATGTTTTAAAGGGATAGCATTGCAATGGTACAATGGTTTGAGCACAATCAAACAATTATTTAGACATATTGACAAGCCTTATAAGAATTGCATTATCTTTATTAGGGGTCATTTTCGTCAACGATGCAATTTTACTTCTAAATCCTCCTACTTTGTATATAGCCAATTATGTCGGAGCGGAATAAATTGGGAATATTGTGGCCAATGCTTCAGCAATGTCTTATGGGACTCATATATGCACTAGCTCCAGTCACCTTAGACAACATTCTTTGACTAGCATAACATTATGGAACATCACTTCTTTCACTTATTGTTGCATATGCTTTAATGCCACTTTTTGTGGGAGATGATCTTGTTCTGATAGAAGTTGATGCTATTGTTGCTTGTGTTCAAAGACAAGGGCAAGGACGTAGTTATGACCATAATGTTTATTGCTAGACATGTGATAAGGTTGGCCACACATATTTGTGTTGTTGACATTTTTTGATTAGCATCATCTATTTCCTAAGTGGAAGCTTTGGTATTAATAATGTCTTATTGGTGCTATGGTCTTGATGTAGAGATTCTTTTGAGAAATGAGAAGTTGCGCAAGTATTGGAGGATGCTTGAATGAATAAGTTATTGACCCCTTCATCTTTCTTTTGAGAGTACTATCAATGGGTTCACTCGGCACCAATTCATCTAGTTTTTACTTTCCAAGCTCGTTTTTACTTAATAGGGGTAGAGTTGAGACTAACAAAAAGGGTATGATAGCAAGGGTGTTTGACAGGCATGGTAAGCTATCATCCAACAATATTAAGATATTAATCTCAATATGCAAGGGTTTTTATCAAGCCAGTGCAAGATAGAGAAAAAGAGAATTAATAAGCCGGGCCAAGTATGCTTGACTAAATAGACACTTAGGAATTTTTTCCCTATGCTCGTCCGGCCAAGTATAAATGCAAAGTCTAGTTTACTAACACTTGAACTGATAAAGGGTCTAACAATACCAACCTCCTACGGTCATCGTAGTAAGAAAAGAATATCTGAAAGGACTAGCTGATATGTAACTTTCGATACCTAAAGTTATATTTGCAACAGTTATTGCTCGTAAACCAATTTCTTGTATCAATTGGGCAATTTGAAGAGTCAATGCCAAAAGCAATGCATGTTGCTCCGGAATGATTAGGAGTCAAGCTCATTGTCTCGCATAAGTTCAAGTTCTTTAGCAATGCCATGTTTCTAGGGCTGTCGAGATCTAGGGATAAAGGGCTGTCAGTCAAGTTGGATTTACTATTGTGGAACTACTGTTACTCATACAAGTGGGATCCACAGCTCAATTATTTTAAAGCTGGATTTTGTGAAGCTGCTAAGTGAAGCTGCAATCTTTTGAAAAAAGAGATTGAAAGTCTAGAGAGAGTAGGTTTCAAGCTAAAGACTTCCTCAAATGTTGCTATTGATACTATTATGCCACCAATGTCAACACTAGACCAGGATACACGACCAGCTAGGAATGGGAAGGCTGTATAATATAAGTCTTCCATTTTGAAAGGTATGCAAGAAAAGATCAAGTTGGCAAACGAATTAAAGTGCACAATCACAAAGACAAATTACATCAATGCTATGGTTAAAGAGTTTGTTGTTGTGATTGAGTTGTCAAAAGATACGAGCTACACTATTAGAATATACAAAAATCCATCTTGTACCTGTCCAAATTTTACATAAATGGAGAACATTGGAAAGATATATTTAGTCTGCAAGCACATTTAATACCTTTTTGTGCAAGAACTAAACCAAGATCCTAAGATCAACCATTACATCCACAAGCAAGCCTTACAGTTGCGGAGCTTGAGAAGTGTTTTTAGATTGCTTTTAATGTCTGGATCTATATTTATATTTGTATTTTATTTGTTGAATTTACTTGTGTAGTGCACGTGGTTTTGACCCTTTATCCTATGGTGATTTACCATAGGATAACACCACGAAGCGGAACCTAAACCCTCTTTATGCCACGTGACACATGCCACATGTCACATGCCACGTGTCCATGCCACGTGTCCACAGGACAGTGGTGTGGAACCTGTGGTTCAGGGCCTTGGGCCATTGAATGAAGGAACGGTGCCAGACTCCCAAGTGTGGAGCCAAGGAGTGATGGAACTGAACCACGGAGTAACTCCCAAGCATACAACCCAAGGAGTGAAGGAACAAGAGCCTGGAGCGACTTGGAACAGTCCTAGAGCAACCAGCATCCCAATGCCAGGACCAGCACACAAAACGGAGTCTGGCGCT